CAATAAGACAGAGAAGGCACTCATCCTCAAGGAAGTTACAACCCAGTCGGGGAAGACAGATCAGGAGCAACTAACCAAATAAATGAACGGGAAAATCTCAGATACAGATGATTGCTCTGAAGAAATGATCCAGGATGATATGCCAGCGTAAGCCTGGTGGAAGCGGTAGGGGATCACTTTTATTTGGGTGTCAGGAACAGCTTCAGGGAGGGGTTCCACCTGAGCTAAGGGCAAAAGGATGAAGAGCTGCCCTTGGGAAGAGCTGGAGGAGGGGTGGGTACCCCCACAGTGGGGGCCATGCATGGGAAGGCTCTGTAGCAAGAGCACGTTTTCTGTGTTCACAAAACAGGAAGAAAGTCAGGATGGCTACGGCAGAGCGGGTGAAGGGAAGAGGGGGACCCGCGCTCAGAGTTCATTATCAAAAGCCCTGGTCCAAGTCATGCACTAGGAAATAGGGACACAGACCTGAAGAAGGCAGAGTTCTGGCCTCAGGGGGCCGTGGAGCAGCTGGAGAGACTGACAGAATCCACCAGCTTCGAAAACGAAATGCTAAATGCTTTCCATGATGTGAATAACATGCCACAGTCTCCTGCAGCTGGAAGGGGCCCCCATGGCTTTTCTCAAGTATGGAAACCACATTGTTCTCTGCTATTCCGTGGAACTGCTATACCAAAACCCAACTTCCTTCTTGTACCTTTCTCAGGCCTTTTATTTTTAACTCATATTTTTAAAAAAAGCACTTAGCAGATGACCCCCAAGGAAACAATTCGCTTTACTGGTCGCGGCCTTATCTGGGGAAAATCCATGAAAACATGAAATGCATCCATCAAAGTTGTCCAGTGACATGCTGACATTTAGTGACAGTCTCTAATTAATGAGACCCACGTGCCGGGCCTCTCAGGCTCTCCTGCCCCCATCAGAGGAATGCAGCCCACCCACTGGGCGAGAGGGCGCTCTTCTCTGACCACCGGAAGACCACCCACCCACGCGATGATGGGCACATCTGCCTCCACGGCTGATGACCTCTTCAACCTCTGCGACCACAGCCTGGCCTTTTGAGTTGGACCCAAGGCCCTGGGGTGAGAAGCCTCAGCCTCAAGCCCTTCCACAAATAACACCCAGCTCATGCCCTTCATGTAAGAACCACTCCACACATCTTAGTTGGTCAACCCCAGCTGTATAGAGGCTAGGGGATACTCTTGTTTGGTTTTCAGTCATCTCATCTGTTCAGTAAACATTTGGGAGCACACGGTGCTCAGGGCATCACAGAGCGGGATCCCCGCTTCCAAGAGCTAGCAGCTCCCCATCCACGTGGGGAAGGAAAACAGAGAGATAAACAACATTGCAAGACAGGGCGTGAGACAAAATGAGCGGAGAGACGATGCCAAGTCTCCGCAAGGAGTCGCGAGAACACAGAATGAGGTGGGGAAAGCTCGCCCTGCAAAGTCAAGGAGTCAGCATTCCAGGTCGGTCACGCGCTAACTTGTGTGATTTTAGGTAAATTCCCCTCTCCAGACCTCAGCATCCTCATCTATAAAACAGACATAATTTAGTCTATTTCAGAGTTGTTGTGAGGATTAATTGTAACTAACCAATAACTGATAGTACCATTCATCATTCAACGTTATTATTACTACTCCTCGTAATCTGGCTTCCAAATCTCCTAGCTGTGCAACCTTAGTCAAATTATGTAAACTCAGTTTTCTCATCTGTAAAATGGGATAATCATAGCACCTACAACCAGAGGGGTTGTATTAGGGTTAAATGTTAATGTTACGAGGTTGGACGACGGGTGAGATAGTGTGTAAAACACTTAGAATACTCCCTAAGACTTAGTGAGTACCGGAGAAACTTCAGTTCATGTTATCATTATTGCATATCCTATTTTATGAAACCTCACCCTTTTAAAAAATATATGCGTACAGACTACTGGCAGGAGGGCAGAAAGACTAGGAGACTGCAAATTGTCTGTAATTCTATTCAGACTGTGGATGCCGTATTAGGTGAAAGGTTTCCCGATATGTTTACAAGGATCATTAGTGTTAATTGGAGGAAATAAAACATTCTAAAAAGTTTCCTCACATTAGAATCTGCTGCCGAAGCATTCGTTCTTTGGGAAGTGCAAACGATTCTCAAAAAATGAAACTGGTGAGAACAAAGCAGAATAAAATGAAATTAGAGCAAAAAGTCCTCTGCTGGTTGAGACGAAAACTACAAGCATGAACCTCAGGGTCACCTGCGGTGACGGGGAGAGGGTAGCTCTCAGGGCAGAGCAGGGATGGCTGTGGTCTGTATAGCTTGGTCACATGCTGAACGAAAAAGAAAGAGGTGAGGGTGGGAGGAAGGAAGGAAGGAAGGGAGAGAGGGAGGAAAGAAAGAAGGAAGGGGAGGGAAGACAAAAGAAGGAAGAGACGACCCACATACACACAATAAAAGCAAAAGGGAAATAACCCAGAGCCCTGAACCACTCCATTGTTGCAACCTGGAACCAGGTTATGTGCAAATTTAGCAATTTCTATGCAAACAAAATACATTCTGAAATTCCTACTTGCTTCTTTGCACACAGCATCACAAAATGCAGAGCCTGTATTTGAGGGTTTAAGGGCTTCCGCCCCACAGAAGTGCAGCCCAGCACGGGGGCCCCTCCTTGTCTAGTGCAGGAGGGCCTGGGGAGGACGATGGCCATCCTGTGGAGGCTTGAGCGCCATCTGCACGGTCCACCTGCTGCCCCGCTCACATCCTAAATTAGGTCCATGGCCAACAGGTTGGTGTCACGCAGATCCCAGCTCCTCTAATCCCTGCCCTGTAGGGCTCCCTCCACTGGGAGGGTCTTCCTCCTACTTGTCGGGAAGACAGTCAATCTCAGTGGCTGGCCCTGGACGTCAGGAGATGTTCCAGGAGGGCCTTTTTATGCCAGGGCTGGGCTGAAAAAGCCCCACCATATCCCACTCCCTCCATCTACAACCAGTCAAGCCCAGTGAGTGCATATGTGACAATGCAAACAAACGTGAGTGCAGGAGAGACAAGGAGAGGGGCCCGGAGTGAGTCAGGAAGAGGCATGGAAGCAAAGGCAAAGAAAGAGAAGCCAGCCAGTACAGGATAACGCGATTTTTCGAGGAGCTGCTCCAGGCCTCAGCCGAGCACCTGACAAATCCAGCAGAGTCCTCATTCTCATGAGCCTGGGACTGCCCTCTGAAGACCAGATCCCTCCCTGCCCAAATCCCCTCATTGCTCCTATGATATGGCAGCTATATGTCTGTCAAGGCCCCGTAGCTACTTCTTTATCCCCAAATCTCTACAGAGCTGACCGCCTTCCTCGTTCTCCTTGAAAGTACCTTCCCATCCGTTTCTAAAATGTTCTCAGTATGAGACTGTCTCCATCTTGTTTCTTGAGGGCTATATCTTGCAGCCAAGGGTTAAGGAAAAGGGGACATCCAGAGGACACTAAATGCCATCGACTACATTGCTTTAGAGGTTTGTTTTTGTTTTTCTTTCTAGGTAGTCTGAAATCAGGGCATATTTCAAGTTTCCATGAAATCCTTTATAAAGCAGATACACAGTTATTTCAGGTGTGAGGTGTGAGGCAGTTAGACATTCAATCTTTGCTCAAAACAGTCCCTAACTCAGGGCTCAGTGGAAGAGGTGGCTTTCCAGAACCAGCGAGTACCCTGGCGACATGAACGCTAGCTCGCCAAAGACAAAGGAGCATGGGTGCTTGCAGACTATGACAGGCCCTTAAATCACACGCTTCCTTTGGCAATGTCCTGACAAGTCAGCTCTGTAACCCAGTGTCCCTTTTGCAACATTCTCTATCCCATGGGTATTGCCTTACGTGTACCATCCATAAACCTTAGAAGAGCTACCTTAGAAGAACAGTCACAAAAGGTGTAGAAGAGTGGGCACCAACACGAAGGTTCTCTCTCCAAGAATCTTCATGTACAAAGGATGGGAATATTGCCATCCTGCCTTACAGTCAGCTCAACGGCCCAGTCTGGAAAACTTTATTTAAGCAGGCATACATTCTTCCCACGGATCTTCTTAACTTCTACCTCCTGCTGACTCTCCTAAAATTCCAGAGAGTTAAGATCTCCCCCTTGCAATCACTAATTCTGTGTTGCCCTTCTGTGAGTGGTATGGTTTGTAGACACTGGAAATTGAGTTAGCATTTCAGGAGGCCGGGGGAAAGGGAGACAGATTCGTCCTACTTTACTCAAAACACAGTCAAGATTCTTTTCCTTCTCCACTTCCTGTCAGCCTTAACCCCAGACATCAAGCAGGACCCAAGCCAACGGCTGAGACCCAGTTTCCATTTGGGAGATGAGTTTTGAACACACTGCTTTAGTGGACAGCACAGTTAACCAAAGTAAACGATCTTTTCCACAGACAAATCACACTCCTATCCATGGCTTCAATCTCAGAAAGCCATGTTCAGACAGAGAAAGCATGTCCCTCTGGCTACCAGCTCATGGCATGAAGACACCCCAGGAAAGCTCAGACACAGTCAGACCCAGGACAAAACGGCAGCTCTGCCAGAGTACAGGAGCGGGGCTGGCAACACCCCGTGGCACAGGCAGAGTGATGGCATTCACAGAAAGCCAGACCCAGCCTTTGGGACTCATTAACGCCAGAGAAGACTGTTCACACTGAGCCCCAGCCAGGCCCCCAGTCACCACGGCCACCGGTTTCAGGTACAGACAGTGCTCAGGCCACTGGCCTCCATCTCAGAGACCCCCTGGCCCAGCCTCCCCTCCTGCTTACCAAGTCCTGAGCCTAGGAGGCCAGTTTGGGGGAAACAGCTCATCTCTGGAACCTCTGAGCGTTTTCCCTATGACCACCACCTTTCCGGGGCAGAGCACCCAGCTCAGCCATGAATTGTGCAGCCCAGGGAAGCAGCGACCTCCCCGCCAGCAGCTGCAGAAAACACACCTGCACCTCTACCCCTCTCCCCCCATCCCCTACACAAATCACTGTAGATTCAGAGAAGAATGGCGGCTCCCTACCTGAGGGTGGCGCTCTCCCCCTGCCGGACCGTCACGTTGTCCATCGCTTTGGGGAAGGTGGCATCTCCGCTGCGCACGGGCACTCCTGTGGGTACAAGGAACAGCAGCCTGAGAGACACGACCACGAGGCACTTCCAGGGCAGGAACAGGTACCCACAGACCCCCATCCTCGACGGCCACAACTTCCCAGAACTCCGGCAGCCGCTCGGCACACGCCCCCTGGGCGCGCACAGGAAGTGGGTGGGGTGGGGTTTGGCGGGGGAGCGAGCACGGGGCCCCGGAGGCGCGGGCAGGAGAAAAGCGCGCAGACTCTTCCAAGTCTAGTGTTCCTCCCCAAAACCAGCCTCAGCGCTCCAGCCTCGGAGAAGCGGTTTCCACGGAGAACATCCAAAGGGGGCTCCCTCGGTGCTGCTTCGGCCGGGAAGGTGGCGGAGAGAGGCGAAGAGCAAAGACAGGTGCAAAGGTGCGGGCGCGTCTCAGGAGCCCCTTCCTCCCGTTAACAGCTCAGGCATGGCACTTTGGAGAGGAGTAAGCACTTTGGTACCAAAAGGGGGCAGGGAGTGGGTTAGATCCGGCCACCCAGAGATGGTCTGAATTCCTCAGTTCCAACAAGGGGAAATCCAACACTTTCTTTTTAAGTTTCAGAGGCAGGGTGGCCAGCAGGAAACAGTCTGTAACAATAGCAGAGCCGGAAAGTGGAACACTCGGGAGGCGCAGGGGTGAGCCCAGGAGGAGAGGCTACGCCGGGCTTCGCGCGATCCGGACCGGGGATGCTGCAGCAGCCGCCTCGGTCAACTTCGTCCGAGACCAAATGCGCGCTGCAGCCTCCGCTATGCGGCCGGTCTCGGCTGGGCGGTCTCCGCGGCGGTGGCTGAGGCGGGAGCGCACGGCGGCGGACGCTCGCTCGCTCGCTCGCTCGCTCGCTCGCTAGCTGGGGAAGGCGAGGGGCTGAGGGCCCCGGAGCCGCGAGGACGCCACGCTCAGCGGCCGCCCCCGGCCTCCGCGCCGCGGGCCTCCCGGGAGCAGCCCCGACGCGCGCGGGCCCAGACCGCCGGGGTTGTCATGGCAGCAGCTCCATCACTGACCGCAGCTCTCCGCCGTGCAGGCGCCGAGCGAGCTGGCGGACCGCGCGCATCCCGGCGGGCGGCGGGAGCGGGGCGCAGGCGCCCACCTTAACCCCCGCCGCGCCGCGCCGCGGCCGCAGGAGCTCAGGCGAGGAGTTTAACCACTTCCCCCCTTGAAGAGCTGTCACTTCCAAATTAAGAAGAAATGCAAAGTTACTATACAGCCTCAATAAGCGCAAGACATCTTAATAAGGGTCACAAACTAATTAACTAGGAAAAGAAAGCTCTGCAGCATGCATGCGTGCACCTTTAAAATTATCAGATTAATATATTAGCATTTAGAGTAAATTTAAAGTGTTGGGAGGACGTTTTAGAATCACCTCATTTTTATTCAACAGGCAACGCCCACCCCACCGCCACCCCCCAAAAGCTACTTCAAACACCATTCTAAATAGAGATCTTCCAGATATAAAAGAAATGCAAAATCACAGAAGCCTCTTAGTATGCGAAACTGGCAAAACCGCATCAAAATTTTGGTCAAGTTCAGACACTGACTTACATTCTTTATTCTTGTTTTGTCGACATTAAAAGATGTTAGCCCTGCAAAGTGCTCACTCAGATGAATGAGTGTGAGCCCCTGGCTTTATTGATACAGAGGATTCCCAGGTGTCCTGGGCTTCACACTCCTGCGGAGCTGATTTCATCTTAAGAGGTGTGTTTTTCAAATTCTTGAAACCCAGAGAAAAACTGCATTGGCCTCAGTTGCTGTCACTTCTCCTCTTTGGCTGCTGTGGGTCCCTCTGTGCCTACATCTGCATGTTTCCTCTCACTTCAGCTCTGATGGATCGCAGTTCCTTCCAGCCTGGGCCTGGCTCCTGAGGGAGGGGGGAAGCCCAGAGCGGCACAGCCCACCCCACGTGCTAACACCAACATGTTCTCTGCTCAGGGACTCCAGTCTGAGCTCCCTGCACTGACCCAGATTCTCCCTGGGGACAGAGAGGAAGCAGCCGTGGCTCTGTTTCTCCCCTAGACTCTCTGTCAAATCCAACCAGGAAGCTCTTTTTTAAAACAACTGTTAAATAACAACAAAAACAACAAATGTTCTTCCCAAAAGCCGTCCAGCCACCACCAAAGAGACTGAATCATCCTAACTGAATCGCTGTAACCATAAGGGTCCTGGTGCCATAAGAGTGCATGCATCTTTCAACTGGTCACCCCACTTACGTGTAGATAAAACGCGGGTGAGTGATGCACAGGCATCTCACTCATCATACCCCGGTCACTCCAAACTGCCCTGGATTGGAAGGGATGGAGGTTGGTGTGCAGATGTGGAAGCCACGCTCCAAGGTAACAAAGAAAGACTGAGGAGGCATGGCTTCCTCTTTTAACAGGTGACCCGAGAGTGTACAACCATGTAAAGGCAAGCAACTCACACTGAAGATCTCAATTAATCCATCATTTCGCCCATTTTCCCCTCGTCTCCTCTGTTGACTTTTCCAATATTAAATTCTCAGGGAAATCCATCGCTACTTTTGTCCAGTGAGGACCAAAAAAAAAAAAAAAAAAAAAAAAAAAATTTACTCACACTGAAGATCTCAATTAATCCATCATTTCGCCCATTTTCCCCTCGTCTCCTCTGTTGACTTTTCCAATATTAAATTCTCAGGGAAATCCATCGCTACTTTTGTCCAGTGAGGACAAAAAAAAAAAAAAAAAAAAAAAATCAATTGTCAACTTATGACCACAAAAAATGACTTTACTATCAAGAAAAACAAAAATGATGTCTTCAGGGTGCAGGAGGTTTTGTTTCTGCTTTTGAAAGAACAGGAGGAGAATTTACCTATTTTAGTACCAGTCCGTTCTGACAAGTCCCTACTTTACCTTCACTTTGCAGTGGGAATTGTGGAAGTAGGAAGTTGCATGATTTCACCAAGTTAAGATGTTATATGAGCAGACGTCAGGCGTGAGGTCATGACTGCTGACCTCAGTCTGCTGAATTTGGAGTTCTCCTTATGCAGAGGCCAAGGAATTACCTGTAATCATCCACATTCGTTTAAAGGTTTAAAGCACCACTCCTCCTCCCCTCCAAAACTCCTGTTTGTAAACGGGTCCCACCACCGCAAGTGGAAACAATCACCAGCAGTGGAGAAGGAAGGGGGACTCATTCTGGGCTTTGGAGTCATTTCCCTCCAGGCTTGAGAATGGCAGGGATGATTCCTTTCATGATAAATTCTCACCCTGGCTCTTGCATCTAATTCCCAGGTAGGTACAAATGAGCATTAGTTTTTGCATCCAGAAATGTGGGTAATGACAACAACAGGCCTTCCCGAGGGGCCTACATACATGATGAACTCTACAGTAAAATACTTCGAAATCCATTTAAGGTGGAAGATGCTTTATTAATACATTTTGCCTGCCACTGCTTCATTATTATAGCTGGGCAGAAAAATAACTCTTCTTACAGGCTCTGTAAGATGTTCAGTTTATACCAGTCTGCATGCGGTTGATCTAAGACGCTCACACCATCTTTGTCTCTGGCGGGGGAAGGGAGAGTGGTGAGCTGCAGCCTCCCAACCTGGCCGGCAGAAAACCCAGCAGAGATCAGGTAAGGCTCAGGCTGGACAAAGAAAAGCCACTGGCAACCTCACAGCTGCTTTGTGGACCCAGGGATCCAAACTTTATTCAAAAATGGAAGTTTAGAAAGTGGTGAGAGGTCAGAGATGCCCGCACAATTAACAAGGCAGAATCCATTTTATTGAAACTGCTGATTGAAGTGGTTTGACTAGATGAAGATCAAAATCATATGTCAACTCCCTTCTCATCCCCTAATCCCTAAATATAACCAACACTTAGTGGCTTATCTTATATCCTGTCTCTTGCTTCATAAAAACTGCTGGATTTATTTTGTTTTTCCCAGCATATCCGAGTTAATGAAAAAGGAATGACAGTCAGAGCAATTTCATTATTTGTGTTCTTTATAGACATAACTTCCTTTCTACCTCCTGGAAAGCAGATTCCTAACGAGCGCCCACCTCCACTTTCTCCCCCCCACCCCCCTGCTGTCTCCCTCTCCATCCTCCGTTCCCTCCTGCATACACATATAGTGTACACATAAATCAACTTGTCATAGCTTGTCTCCACGCTGGCAGCTGTAATTGCTGCAGGTTATAAAAATATCTATAGGACAATGCCTTTCAAGCTAGCAGGCGTGCGCACGCACACACACACACACACACACACACACGCACACACTGCCTGAGCAAAAGAAAACAATCATATTCCCTTTAATAATCCTGGGACTGCAAAGGACGGGGTGCAGAGGAGCTTGCTGGGTAGACTCTGGAGGGCTGGCAGGTAGAGGAGGACGCAGGGCTAGACGGAGACTCGGGGGGGCGGCAGCAGCACCTCCTCACTAAAGCAGGGCTGGAAAAGGGAAGAATTGCCAATGAAAGGGAAATTGTTTCAGCTGTTGCTTTTGTTTTTCTCTGCGTTACCTACAGCAAGCTGGGGTTGGCTAAAGAGCAGTGAATGTTCTACACACACAAGAGCCCGAAAGAAGAGCTCTAGCCTGAGACATGCCAGTGCCGCTTATTCTCTAAAAAGGTGAAAGGCCCCCCTCTCCTGGTGGAGATTCCAAATAGGAGCACAGGCGAGAAGATGCGACACGCGGGGCAGTTAGAGCGGCATGGCACCCAACAGACCTCGCAAGTTTTCATCAGAAAAGGCGGTGTCCGTCTGGCTCAAGAGACGGCTCTAGGGGAGTAGGGAAGGGCCGGACTCTGGACAAGTACATGCTGTTCTTTCCTCCTATGTGAATATAGGGTCAAAATAAACTCATTGTTCATCCGGGCTGGAGTCTGGTGTTAGGATTTCAGCAGGGAGAGCCAGAGAGCACATTGAAGACGAGCACGAAGCGCGCAGAGAAGAAAGAGATCAGGAGTAGAGAGAATTCAGAGGGAGCGCGGGAAGGAAGGGCAACGGTGAGGCTGCCCGCGGACTTTGAAAGGCACATAAAGAGGAGGGGTGATCAGCAGAAAAGTTGGCGGGTAGACAAAAAAGGAAAGAAAAGCAGGACAAATGAGCAAAGTCCAAGTACCATCAAA